ATGTAATTGTAACTAAATTAGTATAATTCCTATTGTTGCAACATGCACTTTGTACTAGTAATTAATTCTTTTGAAAAAGTACTTTGTAATTGTAATTATTTTTAAAGTACATGTAATTACCCAGCTCTGCTCACTATCTAGAATGGATGTAAATATATTCGTTCAGTTAAAGGCAATGGCATACTTTTTCGTTTTGTAATTTGTGCGTAGATAAGCTAATATCCATGTGGGTGTAGACAAAAATATTTTTCTACACCCACATGTATATTAGCTTATCTACGCACAGACTACGAAATCAAAAAGAATACTAGTATGTCCAAATGAACGAATATATTTTATATCCATTTTAAGTAGTGAGAACACTGCAAAAATATGAAATCCACCAATCACAGTTTTTAATTTTAGTTACCCGCCTAATTTTTTTTTTTTTTAATTTTAAATAAGTGCAATTTTTTCTAATTGTCGGTATATTTTTTAGTTATTAAGATTAAATATACATTAAAATGAGTTAAACTTGTATAGAATCGAAAAATAATAGCATTTCGATTTTTATTTCGTCCATATTTACAATTAAATATCACAAAATTTTTATAAAACTATAAGAATTCAATTAAGTTAGGTGAGACTAGGGCATTTGGTTCTTATGCGGGAAGCCCGGGTTCAAATTTAAGATGTAGACTAGTTAAATTAAACCTCTTTTCGTTTTTGTTTCATGTTTATTTCATTTAATAATACTGTCATAAATTATTTCTTTATTACTTATTTTATCTTAATAACCTAACCTAACCTAACCTAACCTAACCTAACCTAACCTAACCTAACCTAACCTAACCTAACCTAACCTAACCTAACCTAACCTAACCTAACCTAACCTAACCTAACCTAACCTAACCTAACCTAACCTAACCTAACCTAACCTAACCTAACCTAACCTAACCTAACCTAACCTAACCTAACCTAACCTAACCTAACCTAACCTAACCCAACCTAACCTAACCTAACCTAACCTAATCTAACCTAACCTAACCTAACCTAACCTAACCTAACCTAACCTAACCTAACCTAACCTAACCTAACCTAACCTAACTTAACCTAACCTAAGCTAACCTAATCTAACCTAACCTAACCTAACCTAACCTAACCTAACCTAACCTAACCTAACCTAACCTAACCTAACCTAACCTAACCTAACCTAACCTAACCTAATCTAACCTAACCTAACCTAACCTAACCTAACTTAACTTAACCTAACCTAACCTAACCTAACCTAACCTAACCTAACCTAACCTAACCTAACCTAACCTAACCTAACCTAACCTAACCTAACCTAACCTAACCTAACCTAACCTAACCTAACCTAACCTAACCTAACCTAACCTAACCTAACCTAACCTAACCTAACCTAACCTAACCTAACCTAACATAACCTAACATAACCTAACATAACCTAACATAACCTAACATAACCTAACATAACCTAACATAACCTAACATAACCTAACCTAACCTAACCTAACCTTTTTTTTTTTTTTTTTTTTTTTTTTTTTTTTTTTTTTTTGTGGGGGAGGGGAAAATGCTGTTACGCACACACACTGCTAGGTCTTCAGCAGTGGTAGTGTGGGACTCCTGAGTTCTCCTACCCACTAAAAACCCCTCCCCTTTCCCAATGACACCACGGGACCATCCTAGACGGATATAAACATCGTGATGCCTTGAGCGTCCTAGTCATCCATCTGTGATTTTCGTTCTTCCTCCTCTTTTTTTTCAATCACATTTACTATGAATTTATAGATAGTATCCCAGCTACCTTTATTGCTACACATCTTCCCTATGATGTTTTCGGGAGTTAGATCTCCTTCTCTGTTATAGACATCTGCCCTCCATGGTTGCCACTGTTGGCAGTAGAAAATTGTATGCTCCGCCGAGTCTTCCGAATTGTTTATTCCTTGGCAGTAACGGCACTCGTCCCTTTGGCTCTTCCCTATCCTCTTTAGGTAATTCTGGAAACAGCCGTGTCCTGTCATGAACTGGGTGAAGTAATACCCCGTGGTCTTGTGGGGACATTCTACCCAGACACTTAACTCCCTCATTATCCGTCTGGTCCAAGCCGCCTTTGTCTGCTGTCCGCTCCACCTCTCTTGCCATTGTTCTAATGTAACCCGTTTGGCTGCCCTTATCTCGTCCTCGGTTCCCCCTTCGAGATATGTCCTCTGCCTCTCCATTACCAGCAGGTCTATAGGTGGTATTCCCGCCACAGCCTGAGCTGCTTCGCTGGACACCGTTCTGTAGGCTTGGATCACCCTTAATAGGCTTCTTCGTTGTGTACCAAGAAGCATATTAGCATATTTTTGATACCTCATGACCGGGCTCCATACCGGTGCACCATATAGTATAGTCGATTGTACAACACCATTCAGTACCACCCTCTTGTTGTAACGAGGGCCTCTTATGTTCGGCATAATCTTATTTAGAGCAGCTATCGTTTTCCCTGTTTTATTGACAGTTCTTTTTACATGCTCCCCGAAATTTCTTCTGCTGTCCAGCCATATTCCGAGGTACTTTACGTGCTTTGCAGGAACTATCTCTACTCCGTTAAGTCTGAAGGTTATCCACCCACGGTCTCTACCTCCGTTCAGGATAACTGCTTCCGTCTTCTCCGGGGCCAGTTGCAGTTTATGATCCTCCATCCAAGCGCTTATCTGCCCTAACGAGTGATTTGCGTTCTGTATCAACCTTGAGGCACTTTCTGCGGCCACAGTTAGCGCTAGGTCATCTGCGTAGGCAATTACTTTGCATCCGTCCTCCATCTCTAGCTTCAATACGTCGTTGTATAGCACGTTCCACAGTGTAGGGCCCAGGACTGATCCCTGTGGGACTCCCATTGTGACTCCCAGCCGTTCGTCCTTACCGATGTTTATGGCTCGATTCGTTAGGTAATCCGTAATTATGTTCAGTAGGTATTTACTTATGCTGGCCTTCCTTAGCTTTTCCACAATTATGCTCCATACCGCCGTGTTGAATGCGTTCTTAACATCGATCATTATTGCAGCAGTCCACTTTCCTCCCTCTGTGAGTCTAACGACTTCATTCACAGCCTGCACTGTGGAACGTCCTTTCCGAAAGCCGTATTGGCTATTTGAAAGTATCTCTTTCTGATCGAGTTCTTTCTCTAGTCTCTCTCTTATTAGGATTTCGTAAAACTTACCGAGCGTGTCTATCAGGCAGATTGGTCTGTACGTATTCGGCTTCTCCTTTGGAAGGAGACACACATTCGCTGTCTTCCAGCACGCCGGAAAGCTCTGTGTCAGTAATAGATTGTTCATGACTTTAGCCATAGCCTGTGGATTCACCTCTGCTGCGGTTTTCACGCTTTCCGGAAGAATACGGTCCGGTCCGGGGGACTTTTTCGGTTTCATTAATGCACTGGCCTGCAACACTTCTCTTGTTGTAAATAGCTCGACGTTGTCAGACGCCCCCTCCCTGGCAATGCTATCCTCATTTGTGGGAAAAAGTCTCCCTATTATTTGTCGTCTATTGTCCTCCGATAGGTCGTAAGGGGTTTTAAACCCTTTCAGACTTTTCACTGCTATTTTATAGCCCTCGCCGTACACGTCCTCATTTAGAGCCTGGCATATGTCTTGCCATTTCCTCCTCTGTGAGTCCTGGATAAGTCGCCTCAGATCTTTCCTAGCTTGCCGTAGTGTCTGTTCCAGTCCTTCAATTTCCTCAGCTCTCTGTGTCTTTCTCTTCCTCATCCTTGTTATAGTTCTCCTGATCGTGGTTGCCTGTATTCTCTTTGATTCTATAAGTTCGTTCCACCAGTAGGGTTGCGGCCTTATCTTTCCTGTATTCCCATAGGTCTGGCTCCTTTTTTGGGCCTTTATGATTGCCTTGACCAATCCTTCTGGGTCCCCTATGTCGTCTTTTTCTCCTAATGCTTTACGAATTTCTTCCCTCAGTTTCTGTTTATTCAGAAATGGTTTTCCTCCTTGAGGTCCCTCGTTCTTACCAGCCATTCCACATATTTCGAAAGCTATATACCTGTGCAGGCTAAGGGATTCCTCTAGTAAGACTCTCCAGTTTATGATCTTGCACTGCAGGTCTCTTGTGCTCAGAGTCACATCTAGGTGAGAGGAGGATTGTCCTCGGACAAAGGTTGGAACAGTTCCGTCGTTTATTACAGACAGATCCAGGGCTGCGATCCACTCACTCACTAGTTCCCCTCTACTGTCCATCGCCGGTGCTCCCCATGCTTCCGATTTGGCGTTTAAATCCCCGCATAGGATTAGTTTTTTTCTCTGCCTCCTCGCCTCCTCCATGACGATGTCCAGTCTTCTGGAGTATTCCGGTGCCGGTAGGTTCGGTGATAGGTACACCCCGATTATAGACATACCCTCTAGTTCGATATTCACATATCCTTTTCCGGTCCTATGCCCCTTTACCCCTATCTTTTTATTGAGGCAAATGATTGCAACGTCTTCCCGTTCATCCGTTATGACCGCTCTGTTTCTAGCAGCTTTTTTGTTTGGTTCTGATATAATCATCATATCAGCTCCTATTTTGTTAGCCGTAGCATAGGCCAAGTCGTGGGCTGCCCTAGCACGATCTACATTTATTTGGAGTATCTTGATATTCATAGAGGTTTGTGTAAAAGTACTTAGAATATTAATAAAGACAAAAGAAGACGTGTATAGATAGCAACAGAGACAAACAGAAACGTGTATAAAATACTTAGAATAGCAATAAAGACAAAAAGAGGCGTGTATAAATAGCAATTTTTAGACAAAAAGAAGCGTGTATAAATAAAATAAAGTGTATAATTGTATAAATAAAATCTGTGTAAATCGTAAAAATATTTGTGTAGAAATGTATAATTATGTATAAATAAATAAGTAATTGTACCTGTCAGAGCCGACGGATATAGCCGACTCCTTGTGTATTCTACGCTTGTCCTCCTGCGCTGGTGTGGAGAGTTGGTTTTGGGGCGGTGCCCCCCATTTTCACCTCGAATTTGCTCTCCTGATCTCCTCCCTCAGTGCCTTTTGATACCTGGGGCATCTGGTATTGGTGTGACCCTGCTCCTCGCAGGTCCAACAGTAGGGGATGTTGTTCTCGCACTCTCTCATGCGATGTCCCACTCCACCGCATTTCCTGCATCTGTCTTCCCTACTTGGGCCTTTACATTCTGCGGCCTTGTGCCCCATTTTCCAACACTTGAAGCACTTTTCGAATGTAATCTTCTCTCTAACCCTACAGCTTGACCAGCCTATTTTAACCCTCCCTTCCCTTACTACAATTTTGGCCCCTGCCTCGTCCATCAGCACAGCTGCCATTTGTCTTCCTCCCATGGTTTCCCTCATATACTTGACTTCCACCTCTGCCCCCGGTGCGATTCCCTCTATGGCGGCTGCCACGTCCTCCTTTGTAGTTATCGCATCCATGTCGTTGATATATATTAGAGTTCTATTGTCTCCCGCGTTCTTTACCTGATCCCCATTGATTTTCGTAGTAATGATATTTTTGAACTTATTTACATCCTCTTCCTTGTTAAGGGTAATCAGTAGATCCCCGTTTCTAGTTTTTTTAAGGTCTTTGACCGAGTCACCTACCTCTTCGGGTAGGATTTTTCCGCGCACCTCTTTGAGGAGGTCCGCATAGCTCTTACCCTTTGCCTGTATAATCAGGGCCTGTGTTTCAAAAAGCCTTTTGGGGGGTCTCCTTGCGACTTTCCATCCTTCCTCATTTTTTCTGCCCATGTCATACATCTCCACTTCGATGTTAGTGTCTGCAAGAGCTATTTCTGTGATTTTCCTGGTTCTCTCCGTGAGGAATTTGGCGTCGATGACCATTCTTGTTTTCTTTATGCTTTTCTTCAGCATCACTTCTTTAATTTTGTAGCAGCTTTTAAATAGTGCTCGGTCCGCCCCTTCCGTGCTATCTCCTCCTGCAAATATTATGCACCTCTCCTCAACGATGTTGGCGCTCCCCTCGATTTCTAAATCCTTTTGTTTTTTTAGATATGCCGTGCCACCTCTTTCCACCATTTTCCCGCTGATTATTGTCCCGATCTCCTTGTTTCCAGCCATGTTGAAGTTTTGCCTATCACTTTCCGGGTCAAAGACGATCACTAAGTTCTCGTCCTCTTCCGGGTTCCCAGGGTTCCCTACTATCACTGATGTATTTTTAAATACATCCCTGCCCCATTTCCTGCCGATAATCCCCTCGATGTCCTCTATACCATTTATTTTATCTCCCATTTCTTCTATCAGGCATTCCCTTGTCTGGATCATCCTCCTTTCCTCCTCGGTCTCAGTCTGTGTCCCTGTCGTGCAGGTTACTGTTGCTTGGTCTACTCTGACCGTTCTTTTGTCCATCACAACATAATCCTCGGTATGTTTCCCGAGCTTCTTTACGGCCCTGTCTAGTAGCCTTATATTCTCTTTAATCTCCCTCTTTGTGTTTGAGTTTTCACCAACAAGTTTTGTCAACATCTCGGCGATGTCCCTTACTTTTTTAAAGGCTTCTCCCAATCTTCGCCCTTCTTCCTCTGCGTATGGACTTTCCACCCTTTTACGTTTGGTCTTCCTTGTCGTGTTTTCTTCGTCATCCGTGATTTGTTCTGTGAGCCTATATAGTGACATTATGTAGTCGTCTCCTTCTGTGTTTCCTTCTGTGTTTCCTACTGTGTTTGATTCCCTTTCCTCATCGCCTATCTTTTCCACCAATTCTCCTACCGACGTTTCCATCTCACTGCTGAGACTGAACACATCACTCGTGAAGTCGTTTTCTTCGAAAAAACCCGCAGAGTTCCCACCCGTCAAAGGTGTGACGGGTGTGTCCGTGCAAGATTTAAATACCTCCTCTTTATTACTCTCGCTTTCCTCCCTTGGTGTAATGGTGAATTTCGTCACCGGGGGTGTTCTTTTTATTTTATTTTTCTTCTTGCTCCAATCATCAATAATTTTCTCCTCTTCCTCCCTTTGTCTCGCCTTGTCATCATGAAGGTCGGGGCAAACGCCCCCTGTCCTACTCGAATTTTTGTCCCCCCCAGAATCCATGGGACGGCCCGCTTGCGCGGAGAGGGATTCTGGACAAATTGTCCTACCCTCCTGGGGTAATGTGTTTTTCAAATTCGACATTTTCATAGTTATTAGTGTGGTTTTTCTGTCGGGGTTTTCCTTCCCTTAGCCGAAGGGTCTCCGTTATTTAATGGCGCCGAGAACTCGCCATTCGCCCTCCCATTCTGGATCGGACTTGTCGGTTTGCTGATGTTAGCGTGGCTGTGTGTTCTTGAGACTGGTATTTCCTTGGTGTCACCCATTCGGCACGAGTGACCCCACCAGTGCCTGTCCGACCATTTCGAGCTGATTCTCGGCTTCGCTACCCACCTCCGTCCCGGAGGCTCGAAGATAGGGAGCTACTGTACCCCTCCACCACGTTAAGGTCTTGCAGCTCCTAGGAGGGGAACCTAACCTAACCTAACCTAACCTAACCTAACCTAACCTAACCTAACCTAACCTAACCTAACCTAACCTAACCTAACCTAACCTAACCTAACCTAACCTAACCTAACCTAACCTAACCTAACCTAACCTAACCTAACCTAACCTAACCTAACCTAACCTAACCTAACCTAACCTAACCTAACCTAACCTAACCTAACCTAACCTAACCTAACCTAACCTAACCTAACCTAACCCAACCTAAGCTAACCTAACCTAAAATAATTTTTAGAATTTGTAGATTTTGGTTAGTGGTCGTAGAAACAAATATAATGTACAACTCGAGTAGATTGTCCATATCCACTCTTATCGCACAAAGTACGATTACATTACTCGTAATTTATTGCTCTTATACTCCATAAAAATCTTTTTAGATTAAAGGACCCACTTTTTGTTGCATTTTTAAATAACTTTATATATATTTTAATAGTTATTACCGATAAAAGTTTTATTATGACACGTTTAACAACACGAGTTTGATTCTTTTATAATTTGATAATGTGAAAAATATTTTTTCCTATTTTCAATTTTGTATTGTATGACATAGTGCTGCTGTTATCAAAAACAACACTGAAATGTGATGTAATTACGTGTCAATAATGACAGCGACATAGATAAAAATTTCTAAAGTTGACTCAGAAAGTATTTATTAATGTCTTAAATGAGTCTAATAGTATCAAAGCTGGCAATCTCCACTCTGCGTGTTTTTTCAGGAGAGCAGTTTTTTTGTTATAGTATATAAAAATGTATTGCCGATACAATTTTAACTAAATATAGTTCTAATTGTGGATATTAAGAAAATAGTGTAATTATATAAAGCTTAATAGTAATTATTTATTTACTATTTAAGTTTAAAAAATGGAGATTGTTGCCTTTGAACTGATAGGTAGGAGATTGCTGATTTTGAAATAACATTTGAAGGATATTGCTTATTTTGAAGCAACCAAGTTAATATAAGAATGGCGTCTTGATAACCAGACAAAGCAGTGGCGTATTTAAATAACATGTCGAAATTCCAGTTTTTCAGGAAATTCAAATTTTATTAACTATTCAAGAAAATATGGTTATATTATTAATTTCATTATTATTATTAATGGTAACAGAAAAACTGATAACAAAAGTTTTCACCTAAAATATCCCTTAAACCCGCAATGGTACTTCCTCTTCTTGACCAGGTTCGCAGAATTCCTCTTCTTCACATGGAACTGTTGGATAAGCTCCACGAGCTAATACTTCATTATAGTAATTAAGTGAGGGATCGTCCCGCCACCCTTGTCCGTAATGTGTCGCAAGCAATTTTTTAACATCTTTAAGTTTTTCTCTACTTACATTGCTTAGATTATCTGGATGTATTCGATCTGGGTTTATATTTCTAATATTAAAAGCTTTTTTGGTTAAGGTTCTGAAAATTCCATATTCACTTCTGTAAAATTTTTCTCCACTTATGAGAACTTGATTATGTGCAGATTTAGACCGCTTAAGGAAAATACGCTTTGATTGTGCGAATGAAAAATGCCATGATCCTGTAGGCTTTAAAACAGTATCAGCTTCTTTACGCCAATCGTAAAACTCAAAATCTGTATTAGCCACAAACAACGTCTCATGGGTTTTTATTATATTATAATATTCATTTGGATTTGCAATCACTTCCAACTTTTTAAACTGCTTTTCTAAAATACCAAACACTCTATCTGGAGGAATAAACGAATGTCCACGCACAGGAAACAATAGTTCGATAGATTGGATATTGTTTGGCGCTTCTAAAAACCATCTGCAACACATGGCCAAAACAATTTTGTTTTTATTTTGGCCTCCACAACCGTCTGCAGCCAACCTTATTTTTATATAAGAAGATAAGTCCGTATTTTGCAATCGGTGAAATATGGCAGATGCCACTTGGTTGGACCCTTTCCCATATACATCTTCTGTCCAACAGTAGCTAAAGCAATTTTCAGTACTTAATTTGCTTGTCGATGATCCTTGCACTACAGTAAAGTTATGTAAGTATAACTGGCGGCTATAATATGCCTGCTGATCTGGTACTTTGGGAAGACACAAATTCTTTTCCATGTCGAACGACAATATAAGTATATCTGAATCTACATCTTTGAGTAACGTAAAAAATGCTGAATCCCGAAGTTTATGCACTCTCTTAGTAGTGATTAATGTTTGTTTTTCTTTTACATCCTTTTCTCGCTTTATTTTTTCATGCAACTCAATACACGTGGAACACATGTCAGTTCGAGCTCCTCCAAATCCAAAATTAAAATTTGTAACGAATATTTGTCAAAAAAAATGATCTTTTTACTTTGACTTCATCCGCCGCCTGTGAGTTATAGATGGAAAAAAATTTATTGGTGCTTAGGTTGGAAGATAAATACTTTCTGACACTTTTTCCTCTGCAATAGTGAGATTCTACACACTGCAGTGAGCAAATAAATTTAATAACTGCTTGTTTTTTATCGTAAAATAATTTAGCTTTCCTGTCTCCACCTCTTTTTTCACATGCATTATTCCCATTAGTTGCAAATTGTTTGGCGATATATGAAACCCTTGCTCTGGTTACATGTAAAACGTTTAAAAATGTCTTTTGACATACAGGTACGCAACGATAGTCAGAACCTCGAATAGTGAATTTTGTCTGCATTTCCCGTTTTCCCCCTCCATTGCCGTTTTTATGTCTCCTGCGTTTTATGGGTACTAGCGACATATATTTAAGGATAAAGTTGTCTTGACTGGTTTTAGTCAAGTTTTCATGAAATTTTTTGTGGAATTTGAATAAGTCCTTCATTTTCAGCGTAGCACACATAAATGCTTTGGATTTATGTCCACATTCAGGAAAAGTAGGTAAACTTTTGGCAGAATACCTAAAACAATATGACAGTCCTAAGTATGTATTTAAGATAATAATAGCATAAACTTTTAATTTTACTTAAGTGTCAATATGTAATAAGTTTTGTAGGTATACTGAACCGTTATTATTCACCCATTGGTTAAGAAAAATGTATTTGATAAAAATAATGTATCTTTAAAAAATTGTTATTGAAATAAACGTTTTATATTTGCAATTTTTAATATAATTTTTAATTTTAAATTTTTATTAGAAACCTAAATCAAGTTGATACTGGAAAGTAAACACAATCACAGAGTAATGTTGTATACCATGCAATATTAAAAATTTTGTCACGCCACTGATAGTAAAAAAATCTTAACACTATAAATGGATACTACTTACTTCAATCGTTTAGCGACGTTTCTTTTCCATTTTAAAGGCTGTTTGATTCTCTTACGAGCTCTTGCAGGATTAACAGGAGACATACAAATACTTGACCATGCGCTAACGTCCATGTTTATAATAATATTTTTACTAAATTTTAAATTATAACGACTTCTTTAGCGAATACCTTTAGTTGAACTGGCATTTCCTGACATTTCTTGCGGTCACATGACAATGTCTAATACGGCTCATTGGCAGAATCGGAAATCACTGTTTTTGAAATGACAGGCATGATGGAGATTGCTGTTTTTGATACAAATGAAGTATTTAAAACGCAGAAAACACTCTGTTTTTGCTAATTTTGATACAATATAGTAAAGTGAGGTGATACTAAGCTTCAAGTAGAATCCGTTGGTAGGTCTAACTCATTTTTTATAAAATGTGGAGATTGTCGACTTTGATACTAATAGGCTCAAATGTAGTTAAAATGATAGTTAAAAACATGGTTCTTTCGTAAGGAAAAGTCCACTTAATTTATTTCTCTTTTTCAACAAACATTATTGCGGTTTTAAAAACTAAAAATGTAACAAATTAAAACATTTCTGACAAATATAATTTTACTCAATCATTCAACTTTTTAATATAATGAAAGTATTAATTATTTTATTAATCTAAGCCTGCCCTGCTTTTAAGCATCAATGTATTGGCTTATACCATTTACAATGATCAGTGGAAGACATCTTTGTTGACCATTAAACTTCGAAATGTCTATAAATAATTTTTTAATTAACATATTATATAAATACTTAATTGCCGTTTGAAATTCTTGTCACATAAAGCCAGATACTCTGTACATACAAAAATAATTACATTAATCTAGAGTGTTTGATAAATATTATCGAAGTAAATTAATTATCATTTTCTAATATTTATTGTCAGAATTCTTTCAGGTACTTAATTATAATTTTTTAATAATTTTTTTTTAATTTTTAATTTTTAAATAGTAATTTAATTCAGAAATTATTGTTATTGGCTTGACATTCCAAAGTTTACTTAAATGACATAGATTATTTTCACATAACTGAATAAATATAAATACTTCTTTTTTTGTAAAATTTAACGTTTCTGAGCATCTAAAACCTATTCAACATTTTTTTTAAATGTAAATTTGTCACGGTTATTAATTAATTTGATTTTCAGTATTTGAATGATAGCCTTAACATTTAGGATAACATTTGATTGACATTACAAAGAAGACATTTTTTTAACTTATAGTTGAATTGTTTAACATTTACAAGCGCTAAATTCCTACAGATCTTGACTGGTCACTACTTATTCCGTAGCAAATTATATCAGACATAATGGCCAGTAATGCCGAACTTTGAGATCCCATTCGATATGGTTTTCAACGACCTTTAATAAATCTGTCCGTTAAATTTATAGATATATTAAAATTGAGTGGATAATATCACTAACACTATACTTTTAGTTGATTAATATTATATATTATATACCGTACTTAACTAATAATCATACTTGGTACATTGATTTTGTACTGTAACTGTAAATTATTGAGCTTTTATATTTTATTTATTTATATCATCTATTGAATACAACTTTTAGGTTATCCTGACAACACTGCAGTAAACAAATACTTGACTATGACTAGACAGAATCTACGCCTAGTCACAGGCATTCTGACATTGCCAGGTACGAAAGAATCTCCATATCATAGGGCTGTCAGAGTCCGCACTCTGCAGAGGGTGTGAACAAGAAGATGAGACCATCGAGCATATACTTTATGATTGCCCGACGCTCTCATTTATTAGAAGATTTGTGTTCGGCCGATATAAGAGAAGCACCACTTGGCGACGTTGTCAACTACATAAAATCTGTAGGCTGGCTCACGAGCTAGAAGGTGCCTATCATCTCAGGAGGATGCAAAATGGGCCTAATGAGGCCTAAGTGCCGTGGGGGTAACCCACCCTCCACACGTTACAGATACAGATACAACTTTTGATACCGGTTCTATGGATAATCACATAAATTAATGAACTCAGACTTCATAATCAGCATAAAAGACAATAAAAAATTAAAAACTGTAGTCAAAATTATTATTTAGGCAGTGGCGTAAAGCGTAAAATTTGAGTTAAATAACATGTCAAATTTAGTAAGAAATTATAACAAAATCATGGGGCATAAAAGGCACATGGATTATAAGAATTTTAATCTCGGAGGAAGGGGATTGGCGCATGGTCGCGTCCAAGTCACTATAATAACCTCAATTTTCGCCGTGAGATGGTTTTCATCGCCAATCCAGTGACATTTCTGTTTGTTTTATTTGATTTTAAATGTATTGTGATGTGAGCCATTTCATTATTCAGTCATGCTCTAATCCTCCAAGTCTTTCTCTGTCTTATTTGGCCTTTGAGGCTCAACTTGTCCGATTATTATACATAATTAAACCCCTTAAACCCAAACATATGTGACGACTATGGCGGAAGCGCTTTCGCGTACATTCCTGAGTCAACGTTATAATGTTTCTAGTACATTCCAAACATAACGAGATATTTCTAGTTTGGCGGAGAAGCACTGTGGAAGCCACCAGAATTTTAAATTTGTACATACATATTGGTGGAGGATCAACGGGGGAATCAATTGTAGATAGACAGTGGTGAATATAAATAGTGAACAGTTTAAGGAAATCGAAATCTATATAAATTAGAATAGTATTGTTTAAAATAAATAAGTGTTTAAATTAATTATTAATAAATAAACTGTTGTTTAAAATAAATAAACACCATACTGATGCCAGTAATGTGGGAATTGGACGAGTGCTTTCACAGATTTAAGAGGGAAAAGAAGGAGTACTGGCTTAGTTTAGTAAAGTGCTCTCGAAACCTGAACGAAATTACTGCGTCACAAGAACAGAACTCCTGTCAGTTGTAAAGTAAGTGGAAAATTTCAACCAATACCTGTACGGAAGAAAATTTTTAATCCGGACCGATCATGCAGCCCTTTGGGCGATGCAATTTAAGAACCCGGAGGGTCAAATCGCCAGATGGATTGAACGACTTCAAGAGTACGACTTCAATATTGAACATCGAGCCGGAATAAGTCACAGAAATGCCGATTCTCTTTTTAGAAGACCGTGTCCAGCAGAGTGCTCCCATTGCAACAAAGCGGAATCCAAAGAAAGTGGACTACTAAGAACAACTGTAGTCAACGATGGGTGGGGCCCCTGCTAAAAATAGGGAAGAACACCGTTTTACAGAAGATGCGACAAGGGAAAGAGGAAAATCGTCGATCTACTTGGCAAGAAGTATCTAATCTCTCTTCAGTACTTAGGTCGTATTTGGCTCAGTGGGACTCATTTATCCTGGAAGATGGCTTATTAAAGCGAGTTCTTGAAAATGATGATGGTTCCGAGAACAGAAGACAGTTGGTAATTCCAAGAAGTAGAGTAGCTGAAGTACTCCGTCAGTTACACGACAGTCCATCTGAAGGAAATCTCGATGTTAGGAAAACCCTTCAGAGAGTACGGGAAAGGTTTTACTGGATGAACAGTTTCGATGATGTAAAGGACTGGTATAAGAAATGTACCACCTGTGCTATGAGTAATGAACCTCAACGAAAAAGGAAGACTCCCATGAAGCAATACAACGTTGGTAGTCCATTTGAGAGGATCGCCTTATATATTGCTGGACTATTCCCCGCGACCGAGGATGATAGTAAATATATTTTGGTGGTTATGGATTAGTTTACAAAGTGGGTGAAAGTCTATGCCATTCCAAATCAAGTGGCCGCAACTGTTGCAGATGTATTGATAAAAGAGTTTATCTGTCGATTTGGAGTGCCCTTGGATATCCGCAGTGACCAAGGCAGAAATTTTGAAAGTTAACTTTTCCGTGGAATCTGTGACAGACTAGACATAAAGAAAACCAGAACCACAGCATTGTACCCACAATCCGATGAAATGGTAAAGCGAATGAATAAGACCATTGGCAAATATCTGTCAAAAGTGGTTTCAAACCATCAGACAGATTGGGATCAGTATCTTTGGCTCTTTACAATGGCTTATAGATCCGCTGTCAATGAATCAACAGGCCAAACACCAGCAAAGGTCCTATTTGGGCGTGAGATGAGACTACCGTGCGACCTCGAATTTGGATGCCGACCTGGGGAAGACATAGCCGGTGAAGATTATGTAATTCAGTTACGAAGAAGAATGGGCGATATGCATGAATTGGTCCGCTCGCATCTTCAAATCGCCAGCGACAGGATGATGAAACGGTACGATACCCAAGCCACAGAAGGATGCTTCAAGGAAGGCGACAAAGTCTGGCTCCATAACCAAAAAAGACAGAAAGGTTATTCTCAGAAGCTTCAAAGATCTTGGGAAGGTCCGTATCTCATCAAGAAAAGAATCAATGATCTCATCTACCGTATAAGTAAGATCCCGAACGGTAAACCGAAGGTAATGCACCAAAACCGGCTAGCGCCATTTGAGGATGACCATGACGAGGAAGAAGAAGTAAACCAGCTCCAAGAAACACCTGACCTTATTTTTTAAGAATTTATGGGTGCATATGGAGGTACCGGAAAAGCAAGACGTGGTGTTAGGACCGAGCAACAACAAGATCTGCTCTCGCTTTCAAAAGACTACTTGCTAGTCTATAGTACTTCCGCCAGTATCAACGATGCGCAAGGACTGACATATGTGTTCCGTAAGAAGTTTTATCGACTGCTAGAACTTTAACGTCAGTTACCAGCCCCTGGAAAAGCCTTTAAACTTCAAGACGAATCGAGCTACCTCTTCTATTTGATAACGAAGAACACCTTTCGAGATCGATTCACTTATCAAGATATATGGGAAGCATTACTTTTTTTTCCTCCTGGGCTCGTCTGACTATGTGTCTCCGAATAATACTGAAGCCTATTGGCGGAATCCAAATATAGGTCTGCAACCATTCTCCCAGTGTCCAGGTTACATTAAAGGAAGTCCCTAGTTACTTCCATGCAACTGGGTTTAGTAGCAGATACAAACATTCGTAAGAGTTCCAGTAGGAACTATCTCTTAAGGAGGGGGCAATGTAATGTGAGCCATTTCATTATTCAGTCATGCTCTAATTCTCCAAATCCTTCTCTGTCTTATTTGGCCTTTGAGGCTCAACTTGTCCGATTATCATACATAATTAAACCCCTTAAGACCAAACATATGTGACGACTATGGCGGATGCGCTTTCGCATACATTCCTGAGTCAACGTGATAGTATTTCTAGTACATTCCAAATATAACGAGATATTTCTAGTTTGGCGGAGCATTGTGGAAGCCACCAGAATTTTAAATTTGTATATAAATATTGGTGGAGGATCAACGGTGGAATTAATTGTAGAGAGACAGTGGTGAATATAAATAGTAAACAATTTAAAGACATTCGAAATACAGTGCGTCCATAAAGTAACGCATAAATTCATTATTGGCTAAATGAACAATAAAATTAGGAATTCCCAAAACAGGTCGATTTTTGATTTCAATTTACTATTGTTTCAAATCATAATCTAATATACAGGGTGAACCACTTTCGTGTAATGACGTCATCACCATTTTTTTCAAATGGAACCCCCCCTTTTTTTTCAATTTCCAAATTGCCTTTGCTGAGCTGATTCCAAAAATGTATAATATGTTGCTTCAAATTGGTACAGGGTGGGCAAAAATGCAAAAATTTACTTACAAAGTAATGAAAATAACGAATAAACGTAATAAACACATTAAATGAAATTACGTATTGTTATTACAACTACTTTGATAAACTATCAAGAACATACAGCATTATTCTTAATAATTGTATCTTACAGCTTTTATTAGTGATCCAAGCCCCTGGACTATACAAATCTTTTTGTTTGGCATTATCTTTTACCAGTTTTTTTTATTTGACATACCAGTTTTTTTTATTTGACAACACTGTCAAAAACATTGAAGCACAGTTTCGTATTGTTAACGCTGTAGAGAAGGTACGTTCGTGAACTTTTTTTACAAAATGCCTTTAACCGAAAGTGACAGGATTGAAATATTAATGATGATTGGTATTGGCGATAAGATGCGGACTCAACAAGAGGTATGCCGATTATTCCATGAAATGCACCCAGATCGTGAACCTATTTCACAATCTACGGTAAGTAGAATAGAGCGAAAATACAGAGAATTAGGACATGTGAGGGATGCAGCAAGGCAAGGTAGACCAAAAATTGATGAAAATATTCAACAAGACATAATTTTGTTGGCTGTAGAAAATCCACACTGTACAGTGCGAGGATTATCTAGGGATTTTGGTATTGGAAAGTCTTCAGTATCAAACATTTTCAAAAAGGTAAAATACCATCCTTATAAAGTACGTCTCATCCATGAATTGGCTGAAGACGACTTTGACCGAAGAACTGAATTCTGCGAGTATACGATGAACCAAAATAACAATTTCATTGATAACGTTTTATTTTCGGACGAGGCAACGTTTTATTTGAACGGTCATGTTAACCGGCAAAACACCCGTTATTGGTCTGATGAAAATCCACACTGGATGCAAGAGTACCATACGCAATTATTGGTCCATATTTTTTCGATGAAAACTTAACAGGAGCATTATATCTGGATTTCCTACAAAATACATTAATTCCTGATCTGATCCAGCTTTTTCCTGATATTCAAATACCCACTAATGTAGACCGCAGAATCTGGTTTCAACAGGATGGCGCACCGCCACATTACGCAGTAGCTGTGCGCAATTTTTTAAACACAACTTTTCCACAAAGGTGGATAGGAAGAAGGGGACCAGTGGAATGGCCTGCTAGATCACCTGATCTGAACCCATTAGACTTCTTTTTATGGGGTTATTTAAAATCTAAAGTCTACTTCAAAAGACCTGGAAATATCCCTCAACTACAAGACCGAATCAGACAAGAAATACAGAGCATAACACCTGCTATGCTACAGAATGTTAGAGACGAAAGTAATGCCCGGTTCAGTCATTGTCTAACGGTCAATGGAGAACAATTTGAACATTTATTGTAAATTTTCGTTCGTTTGTTTGTTTTTGGAAGTGTATCACATTAATTGCATAACTACATAATTCCATTTAATTTGTTTATTACATTCAGTAACGTATTACTTTCCATAAACAATTTTCATATTTTTTTTTGCATTTTTGCCCACCCTGTACCAATTTGAAGCAACATATTATACATTTTTGGAATCAGCTCAGCAAAGGCAATTTGGAAATTAAAAAAAAAGGGGGGGTTCCATTTGAAAAAAATGGTGATGACGTCATTACACGAAAGTGGTTCACCCTGTATATTAGATTATGATTTGAAACAATAGTAAATTGAAATCAAAAATCGACCTGTTTTGGGAATTCCTAATTTTATTGTTCATTTAGCCAATAATGAATTTATGCGTTACTTTATGGACGCACTGTATATATAAATTAGAATAGTATTGTTTAAAATAAATAAGTGTTTAAATAAATTATTAATAAATAAATAAACTGTTGTTTAAAATAAACAAACATCACAGTATGTAGTTCTGAGGTTTTTCATATCATACGATTTGAATCATAAATATGAAACGTCAGAGATAGAGTTCACTCTAAAAAATATTAATTAATATAATACAGAGTGAAATCTGTCAAACTTCCAAGGTCAATCCTGATTAAAAAAAAAAAAAAAACATGGTATATTATTTACTAATGTATCACCACTGGAATGTAGCCTAACAACGATAGAAAGCCACTGATATTCATAACAAATATGATTATAACATACTTTTGAACTCGTACAATAAACTTAAAACATACTTATAAAACGACATTATATGCATCCAAGCTTCTATCCCAATCAACATACTTGACATTATCATAACCGACTGATCGAACATAGATTATTTCCCATTAACAAAGATGTCTTCTTCAAACCGTAACATAAAAAAATTGTCAATCTTCACTATCAATAAAAAATTTATTATAGCAAATTTTACGATCAGTCGCAACATTTACGACTTGTTCCAACTAAATGTGTTTTATTTTTAATTCTAGGCTGTCGATATCATTACAGTCCGCTTTGTCAGTGGCAGATCGCATTAGTGAATTAGAAAAGCAACAGAAATACTCATATTTTGATCCTGAAAAACGACACAAAGTTCCTGATCCCACGCTGAAAGCCATTCAGAAAAAGGCTCTACTTTCCTTCTACGAGAGACACAACAATCCGAATAACAAGAGCTCTTGGCGATCGGAGCCTCAGCTGGCTCAAAATACCTCCTTGACTTTGCCGCAGCCGCCCATGAAACTCAAGGTGCAAAAGGTAAGAAATCAAATTATTTCAGCTGTTATTACCTAAGTGGAAAATGTAATTCTCTTAATTTTATATTACTTAGGACTGGTCTTCTCATCTCTCAGTAAAGTAGAAAGAAAGTAACTGCATGCTGATTAGACTAACTTGATATTTTACTAGGGTTTTTTCATATATTTTTATCCGTCAAGTAGTAGATTAAAACTTATATGAAAGAGATTGATGCTTTTATGTTCGCTAGTACATAATTTTTTTTATAAGCCCCATTTCTGTCAAGGTGGTACCGAAATTTGAGATTATTTTTAAACAGAAAGAAATTATTTAATAAAGAAAAAACGTAAAGTAAGACAAAGGTGAGTTCAAATAATTGGTTCAAATAAATTGGTATATTTTATTCAAATTTTGTTGAGTAGCACGAGTAGTGCGATGATAGGATTGCTTCTAAAAAAAAGAATAAATTATATTTGTAATATTTAAATAATAATAGATTTATTTACCAATTTCGTACCAATTTCAATTTATTTAGTAATACAATAATTATATTCTACTTTTTTATATGGGTTTAATAGTACAAAACTGTTAGGTGAGGAGCACGAAAACAAACTAAAAACTTAGGCGAAGTTCCTGTGTTGTCTTTTTGTTTATTTTCGGACCCCTTCTTAACTATGTATTTATTTATTTAACTGTAATATTGGCAATAATCTTATCTAATTATACTTGTATGATATACATATTTTCTAGCAAAAAAAATGAGAAAGATTGAGAATAAAAATTACAAATAAATAAAAATAATTGTATACACAAAATAAAAGTGGAGACCAGATCATCAAAAGAAAAGTAAATTTGGTTAAATAAGCAAACCAGTATAGTGTGTAGTAAGTTATGTTTATACGTATAGAATTATTTGCACATGACTGGAGATATTAATTGGTAAGCTTATGAGGGCAAGGTGTAAAACGTATTGGGGAATTTATTATATACTTCTTTGTTTCCCGCTTAAACCGTTTTTCTATTAAACTTTTTTATTATTATCAAAAATAAAGTCTTAAATATTACCACTACCCTCCCCTCAGACCTAAACTTTATTACCACTACCCCCTCTTCCAGAGTTAAACTTTATTCCCACTATCCCCCAGACTTAAACTCTGGATGCGCCACTAAGCTTGTGTTATACGTGTTTTTCAAATTGATATTTTTTAGTAGAATTCTGTTGTTATTAAACACTGAAGGGTAAAAATCTTATGTTCATAATTTTGTACATGTTTTCAGTAGAAAAAAATTTATTCTTTTTAAATACAATTTTTAATAGAGTGTTTTGAATTGTTCGAAATATTTGTAGGGTGATATTAAAGGTGCCTCCCCTATACAATATCTTAGAATTGATTCGGCTAGAGAATTATTAAATTTTTTCAATATAAAATAATATAGAATGGATGTATTAAAGCTCTTAAACGCTTACTAATATACAGGGTGTACCATTAGTGCGTAATTGTTCAATATTTTAATTTCTGTTTTAGACACGCAAAGAAATTTGGAATAAAAGTTATATGGATTTGAAAAATATCTTTGAATATACAGGGCGTTGCGTTTTTGGCTGGCAAATAAAAATGTATGTTTTTTTAGAAGAACACCCTGGTTTTTTATTTTTAGAATGGTTTGGTAATTCTGTATTCAACGCTAGAATCTAATTAAAAAATATTGCAGTATTGACAAGCAATTAATTTCTTTTTAAATTAAAGAATAATGCAGACCTCAAATTAAATTATCATAATTTAGGTAGGTTTGCATCGATTTCAAAATTGTTTAATATACAGACTTATAAGCTAACGAATAAGGATTATTAAAACTGGTTTGTTTTATATAATAGAGTGTATTGAAACATGTCTTAAATTTTAGTAATTTTAAGTTCAATTGGCTCTTTTTTTTTAAATGTAACACCCTGTATATTATTTTAGCAGAAAAATCCTTATAACTTTACCTATCCAACGATACCAACATGCTAGTCAATAACACATATACAGGGCGTCCCATCAATGCGTAATTGATCGATAGCTCTTTTATTATTGGAAATACGAAAAAAAAAGTTGTATGACAATGTTTAATAAATATTCTTAAATATACAGGGTGAACTTATACATTTTTAAAGCAAAACATCTTGCAGGTAGTTATACATATTTGACTGTTTTTACATCGTTAAACAATATTAATAGACTTCATTTATTTGCTATCTTGTATGTCAAAATGCGGGGTAATGATTTTTTCAAATATATAAATAGAATATAGGGTATTCGTATTCGTAACATCGCGTGTTGACAAACCCTATATACAACATAACAAATGAGTGGTCAATTAAAATTGTTTGACAATGTGAAAACAATCAAATATGTGTAACTACCTGCAGTGTGTTTTGCTTTAAAATAGTATAGCTTTGGTTAGCACCTCGTTTAAGAATAATTGTTAAATATGGTCATAAAACTTTTATATTAAAAATTTCTTCGTATTTCTAATAGTAAAACAGCTATCGATCAATTACTCACTGATGGAATACCCTGTAGATGCGTTTTGGCTAATATTTTGATATAGTTGTATAGGCAAATTTATAAGGAATTTTATTTTGAGATAATATACAGGGTGTTGAATTTGAAAAATTGAGTAAATCGAATTTAAAATTAGCCATATTTAAAACATGTTTCAAAAACACGTATAATAAACAATTTTAAAATCAATATAGACGTATCGAAATTATGATAATTTAATTTGGGTTCTGTTTCATTCTTTATTTTCATAAAAAAAATTAATTGCTTGGCAACCCTGCAATAGTTTAGAAAAAATCCAGGTTTACATACAGTGTTACCAAACCATTCTGAAACTGAAATAAAGTACAGGGGAATTTAAAAAATATACATTTTTATTTGCCAGGCAAAAGTGCAACACCCTGTATGTCCAAAAATATTTTTTAAATACGTATTTCTTAAAAACGTTCAACTTTTATTCGAAACTTGTTTGCGTGTCTAACACATATTGAAATAATGAACAATTATGCACCAATTGGATTACACATTAATTTTTTCAACTCGGCAGTAAAATATTAAAAAAAAATTTACGCCAAGAGCAAACGAAAATTTATTGTTAAAGTTGCCAATATAAAAAATAAAATATTTTTAAAATATATCTTCTAGTTACACTGAAAATAATATTTTCTCGTATTGATTTAATTCTTAAACGGAATACCAAACCAAATATTATTTCCGGTATAATAGCATAAACTATGGCAGACTAAAATTATTATTAAAAAAAAAAGATAGTTACTATGAATTTTTCTTAGAAATTACATCTTAAAAATAAACCGAATACGAAACTTCTGTTCAGAAATGTTTACTCGCCATACATAATTTAAAGAAAATCTCGAAAATAATTTGTATCTAAAAGTCAAAACCCAAAAGTCTTTAGTAACTGGCTTTTCCATAAGTCAATTATCTGTAATATTATCCTATTTTATTTTACCTGCCGAATTTCTATGCCAAATCTAAATGGCTGAAGACCTTTTTCATCTACTTATTTGTTAAATAAATCAAAATTATGCATTCTATTGTATATTCTGTTAATGTAATCTTTATTGATGAAAATCTAAAATTATTTAATATCTTTAGTTCCTAATCTTTAAATATGTCAATTTGTCAATAACATTTATTTACTACTTAAACCCTATTGGCAGCATCTGAGTTAATTACCAAGTAATAGACCGTCAGATAGTGACCGATTTAGGTGCCCCATTTTCGCATAGCCCCATTTTCGCATACAAGCCTCGAAAAGTACATCGATATTGAGTAGAATAAAAGAAAATTTACGAGTGGCTCTTGGGGATAACACATGGAAAATTCGATTTTCTTTATCAGAAAAATTTTCCGATCCCAAAATGCACTTATACATTCGGGTCATTCAAGAAAATATATTTTTCGGACTAGTGACGATGTACGTTTTCATACATTCGATGGGTTTGTGTGAAAAAATCGGGCAAAATCTCGATTTTTCCTTATTTCAACCCTTGAGCCACTTGCAACATTGAAGCCTTTGGTCTCCTGAAGCCTAGTTCTATTAATTAATCATATAGTGAAAACGGCTTGTGTGGAAAAATGGGCAACAAATAACCTTTCGTTTTTGTTAGGGAAAATTGAATTTTCCATGTGTTATCCCCAACAGCCACTCGTAAATTTACTTTCATTCTACCTAAAATCGATGTAATTTTCAACCCTCTTCAAGGCTTGTATGCGAAAATGGGGCACCTGAACCTGTCACTATCTGACGGAGTATAATGGATGGTTACTGACAAGATATTTTTCTTGGAGGTGAAAAGACAATGCGTAGTTCGCCAATCTGCCTTGTTACTTTTCTTAGAGGTACAGAGACCGCCCGGTCCTTAATGTATAAATTTATTAATAATGTTGGTAAACACCATCAATTTAACAAAATTTTAAAATATTTCTATTTCTGCTATTCGAATTCTATTGACCTAATTATGTATAATTTCTAGGCACAAACGCCTTCAAGAAGAGCCTCTTCAGCATCCGACTACGCTTCTGGCAATAACTCCAAGCGAAGCAGTCTAGCTTCCAGTTTGGAATCGAAAGCTGACTACAAACCCATACCAAGACATCAACACAGCAACTCATGCGGCAGTCTCTCCACTGACATGCTAGGACCAATGATAGTGGGACCATCGATATCGGTCGACGATTATATTCCTGATCAACCTCCAGCTAGGCCACCTAAAAATCCTAATCTAAGGAACACTTTTCCCGATCTATTTCAGGATCAAAGGGTGCCCAGTCCCGATTTGCCTCCACCTTCGCCGCCTACTGTATTAGAAAATGAAGTGTTTAATAATGATGAACCACTTCCACCTCCTCCACCTGAATGTGAAAATGGCTGGCAGGAAGATTTTGTTGAGCGGCTGGTCGACAGCAGTTCTGGACATCAGATGCCTGCTCCGCAAGTGCAAAAGACTAGTAAGAAGGAAAGTAAACTGATTCAACAGACAATAGGTAAGCAAATATTTATTGTTTTACCATTATTTGATTTCGTCGTGAGCTACTCTATTGTTTAAATCTCTATTAGGTAGTTAACTACAGAAAAATTATCTAAGATAGACCCTCTACTTTTACATATTTCTTTTGATTGTTCTTTAATTTTGGAGAATTTGGTCTTTAAATTTTAGAATCAATAATAAGAAAGTTTACATTGTCTTGGTAATTAATTTTTTTTTGAGACACATACGCTTTATAGACTTTATATGCATATAAAAAGGTCCTCTCTTTAATGCGTCTCTGCATAGTTTTCCAAATATTTATAACATTTTTCTTTTTTTATGTTACAAAGAAGTGCAAAATTCCTTTTGATATTTCTATGTAATTCTTGATATTTAGCAAGGAATTTATTACCTCCAAATTGTATTGGTATTATAGTACCCATAGATATTGTTGTACTTTCATTGCTTTTAGAAGTAATTCATTATTTTAAATAAAGAATTACAATTTTCTTTTTGAGTTATTTTTTAAAATGATCAAAGGGGGATGGTCTCCGAAGGCAAATATTACAAAAAAGCTAGAAAAGTATTTTTAAATAAAGTTTTATGTCTTTGTTTACCTTTAGAACATTATTTTTCAATTGTGCAATATAATGTAATTTGTTTAAAATATAAAATGTTAATTAGGATTTACATTTTGGCATAGCCATGAGGATTTAATTGTAATATGTCCTTAGTTTTTATTTAATTTTACTTTCAATTAATCTGTATGCGATATTAAAATGAATAGTAATCAATTCATAAAGATGACATTTTAATTAGATATCTGATTTTCAACTTAATTCCGCAAATATATTACAAATTTATTTAAATTTCACTTAATCAATTAGCTAACATTCAAAGTTACTTTCCGATAGTTATTTTTAGCATTAACGGTTTTAACCTACCACGTTTTGTATATTTAACATTGATTATTAAATTATTTTAATAGCTCTGGATATATCGATGATATCAACGTCTCAATTTTAGATCGATGAAAGATTAATGTTTATTATAAACACAACGTGACACTTTTTACATTAATTTGTAACAAACTGTAAATATATCAATTTAGTTTAATAAATATTGATTTTAGTAATAGGATTACAGATTATAAATATAAAATTGGGTATGTGGGTTATATTTATAAATTTGTTTTTGATAAAAAAATTTAAATAGCCAATATTAATTTATTTTCGATATAAAAGGTGATTCACATTTAAATTGCACCTAAAAATAACAAAATTTAAGCGTCTGATTCACCTATTTTTTATAAACTGTAATTTATATCTAATTAATTTATTACACACTATAATAAGAGCTTTCCCTTCTTCATTTGGTTAGACTTAACTTGTTTCATAAACTATATAGCTTGTTCTTTAAAAATAGGTAAAATATAATATTTTTTTTAAATACCACCTCTGATTTATATTTATTTATTTTTTAGGACTTCCAGAAAGATATCCTAGAAACTGTGCAGTGCGTTCCTCTATTAAAACCAAATCTACAGATCAAATCTTCCATCAGGTCAACAGCAAACCATATAACAACACCAATCACGTTGAAACGAATAATAAACCAGAGCAAATTTTAGGTTTTCCAAGTCAAAGAGGTTATCAGGAAAGATCAAGTGCAAGGTAAATTATTTTCATAAAAAAAAGATGTGTAAACATTTCATAACACCCGTGATCTCGCTGTTATATTATTTTAAAAATAGTCGGCTAAACTCGTACGTTTCTTAGTAACTTCTTGGCGTTATACCATTTCTATTTTTCCTCACCCATCGGACTCCACATGCTATCACCTGTCAATTTCCAGGATCTCCGAGGATTCAAGCATCGCGGTACCGAAGTCTATAAAGCTTAGTGTACCATCATTTGGAAGCTTAAACTACTTACTCATTTACACATTATCTCCAAATGTTAAATATTTAAGAGCAAACCGAGCAACTTGAAAATTTATAATTATTTCTAAAGCTTTATTTATAGTTCGATTTTTGTGAAACTTTCAAGCAATACCAATAATAACAAAACTTAGGATGAAGAAACATTGAATCTTTTGTATCGCAGCTAATAAAATATGCATATGAAATTAGTTAAAAATGACAGATGGCAACTAATTTTGTTCTGGTTCTCATGTTCAGTAAAAAATAATGGACAATAAAAATTATGTATTTCATATTATTACATATTATTGACACATTGGTAAAGAAACATCTCGGAATCTACCGTTTATTTCAATGTGCTATTTTTACTTCTTCGATCGAGTTCAATAGTTTCTAATAAAAATTCTTCATTTTCTTCTTCCTTGTTTCCCCCTTTTGTAGCATGCTTAGGGCCGTTTCTTCTTCAGCATCATGGATTTATCTTGTCGTGCTTTTTTGTTCTAACTATGCCGCGCCAATAGAGAATTAACTGGTTGACCATTTGCTTCTAATGAAGTTATTTTGGAGTAAATACCCAAAAAATTTGTTTTAATTTGTTTTTTATTTTCAAGTTGGAGCCATTATCGTTTGACGAAGGGGGATTTAAAAACAGTAAAGTAAAGAAAAGATTATGTCAACTTTAAAAACATTAAATTTTATATTTTCTCCCATCTATATTTAGGTTTTTTCTTTCGAACTTCTTGAGAAGAATATTTCAGTGACACAAAGAGTATTTTCTTTATTTTGATGGTCATGTTCATAATCTTAACTTTCACAATAGTCTCAGATAACAATTATACATTCTTAGCATATTCTTAGTATATACTTTTAAGAATACGCATATGCTGAGAATATACTTTATTTGCATTTAGTACATTCTCAGAATATAAGAAGCATATGTTACGTGACGTTGTTTATACGTGCTATGCAGATACTGAGAATGTACTTCAAGTATATGGAGTATGCAATAAGTATCTACTTTCATTTGATAGTACGTTCTATTTAAATATAGCATATGCAACGCATATACTAGACACCCTAATACAGGACGTTTCATTAATATTGAACATTGAAGAATAAGTGTATATAATGAAAGTATTGACCATTTTTTAAATCATTATTTCCAAAAATTCATACTTATTCTTATTTTTATTACAAATTCTTTCTTTGGCCTTAACCAACCAATATTTTATTTTATCAATGGCTTATGGCTTGAGTTTCATTTGTTTGCTTCCATTGGATCTTCATTGAACCTAAAAAATCAACAAACTTGGTACATATACAAATTAAGTGTACATAACTAATGGAATATTTTAAATATTTTTGTCGAACATAAAACATTAAAAAATTGCACATGGCATTCCACTAACAAAAACAAGAGTTGCATTAATGGTTATTATGTTTAGTGAAAGTTTAAATATATTTTTGTTAATTACTTACCACCATTTTGTAGTTTTCGTCCTCCTTTAGGTAAATTTCTAGTTCTTCAAGGTCAATTTTATAGAAAGTGTGTATGTAATTCTGGTAACACTGTATTTTAGTTTCAATTCTCCATTAGTATCACAGATCACTTACTTTAGTATTAACCATATTAATAAATTCACACTGGCAATTAATATTTGGGATATCCCGTATTCTAACATCACTTATAGGTCCCAAAAACTACAAATATAGTAAAATTTGTTTATTTTTATATAGAACACACCATGTAATTATTTTTTATTAATTTATTTACCTCAAAAAATTTGTAGGTTATTAAGATTGTGAATGTTCTTTGGCCTAAACACTCAACATTAGCGCATTTGCTAACGAATTATCAGATCGTCATCTGGGAAAAATTCATATAGATATGCATATAAACGTGTTTTTACATGTATTGGGTGTTAATTTTTATCTGTAAGCATTTAGAACATTCTCAGAATATGAGGTATATGCTGGGTATGCCTATGACTTTTAGTATCTTCTAAGAATATCCTGTTATAGCACTTGCTCAGTATATACTTTTTAGAATATACTTTTAAAGCACTTACTCAGAATATACTTTCAAAGTATATACTAGGTATATTCTTAGAACATTCTAGAAAATAACATACTAAAAAGAACATGAACAGAACGTTCTTAATATATTCATAGAACATTAATGTTATGATGGGGTGTAGGTAATACTCTTTATTCTTCTGAAAGTTAAACAATTATTATAGGACGTTCCTTACAAATTGTTCTATCTATCTATCTATATATCTACCTGAATTAGGGCGTAGTCCAAAGCCCACTTGTACTGAAGCTCTAGGCTTATTGTACCCCTCACAGTTTCTATCCTATCAGATTGATTTTCTTGATGAATTCAAGAATATGTCTGATGGGCGCTTTCGCGATTTCTTCAGATTCTGGATATTGTACCCCGAAGTACCATTCCCGTTCCCATATAAGGTTTCTGCAGTGGCATAGTATGTGAATAGGAGTTTCGCCTCCTCTTCACATATTCTACATAGGGAGTCATCGGATATCCCTAAGATATTTAGGTGTCTTCTAAGGCCGCAGTGTCCCGTAAGGAGTCCTATTACGGCCTTGAGTTCGCTTCTGCTAAGGTTTAGCAGTTGATGTTGTCTGCTCGTGGATGGCCCCTCTATGAATCTTTTGGACTGTCTAAGTCCAGGAATTTCCAACCAGAGCCTGTGGTGTTCTCTATTTATTTGTTCCTTTAACACCCATTTAACATGTTGGTATGAGATACCACATGTGGGTTCTGGTCCAATAAGAGTTTTTTCCACCCCCTTCCTTGCTAGGAGGTCTGCTTTCTCATTTCCAAACACTCCCTCATGTCCTGGCACCCATTCAAGGGTGACCTTGTTATGTTCTGCTAGGGCCTAGAGGGACTGTTGGCAATCAAATATTAATTTACCCTTTTCAGTGCTTTAAGGGCTGCCTGATTGTCTGTCATGATAAAGATCCTCTTATCTCTAAGAGAGTCATTTAGCATGACTTTGGCGCAGGCATTTATTGCTGTTACTTCAGCTTGGAAGACTGTTGTCAGTGACCCCAGGTTGAAACTGATTGTCCTCCCTGAGTTCACATGGTAGATCTCAGCTCTTGTGCTGTTTTTCATTTTTGAACCGTCTGTATACCAGATTGATTCGTTTTGTTTTTCCCTATTTTCCCGGCTTTTGGCCCTTTCTGGTATTTGAATATCGAAAGGTTTCCTGAAGTCGTAAATAATGGGCGTTATATCCGATGGCATTCTTAGTACTACGAATTGTTAGTAGGCATATGTTAATTTTGAAATAAGTGAAACAATAACCGTTTTAAAGCGATCAACCGGTAATTTGCGGTTATTACCGTTTTAATTAAAGCGATGTTTGTTATCCTTGGTAACTTTCTATAACGTCATATTTAAGCCCTTTAAAACGTCATTAATTATAACCGGTAAGTACCTGAGTCCAGATGTTGGTTAATAATGACAAGTGGAACTGACATGCAATTAGTGTTTTTTGGTTAGATTATAGAATTAGCTCAGTGAAAATTGGAAATGACAGCTACGTAAATTATCAAAAAATGCTTCTGACACCATGTAAAAAACATGTCAAACTGTTCCTTATTAAATTGTAATATCCAGTCTACACAAATATAATTCTTTTTGGTAACATATCAACATCACACAATTTTATTCCAGCCAGTTTCATAAAATTAACCTAGAAATTAAATGTCAAAATTTCTTGTCATATTCCTTAAAAAACGATTTAACGTTAATGCGTTACAATAACCGGTTATCTTTTTAGGGTTTTAGTCACGTGATTTCAAGGTTAACCAAGGGTATAACCATGGTGATTTCTGGTTCATCGCTTTAAAACGGTTAATGTCGTTTCTGTCAACTGCGATGTCGGATATATATTAAGTCGCATGAACTGTACATTTCATATCTTCTAATGAAGTTCATGATTGGGTTTGGTAAGACTTTAAAGTTGTTAGACTTCAATAATTGAATAAATCCGAATGTCTGGAACTCTGTCCAGAATGTTTAGTAGTCCCAGGTGTGAGTTCGTCAACTTTTTCATTGCTCCCAAGTAAATTTTTGTTTATTTTTTTTAATATCTGCCCAATATGTAATTTTTTATATTTTGATTTAATTGGTAAAGGACTTATTTATTTTTTTCTTTTATTTAAGAGTTACCATTTTGTCTGATTCTTTTGAATTGATCAATGATTATTGGTCATACAACAGATAATAACCTTTATGTTGAATTGTTTAGTTTTCATATTTTGTATATTATATTTTTTTATTTTATAATTATTTTCCTTGTTTTAGATACCCAAGTACGCAAAAACTGACTATGAATGGAAGTATAGCTGTGAGCCAAAAAGTAAATGGCATTTCCGATCAGTACAGACCCGAACCTTTAAGGTCGCATAGATCAGAAACGAAGTCAGTGCCGAGTCCGACAGAAATTCATCGAGCTCAAAGGGCATCGATTGCAGAAAGTCCCGGTAAGGATATAACAATATCGAATCGAATAGTTGTATTCATCATTAAATGATCAATCACTGTTGTATAAATACTCAAGCCTAAATTGTAATACTATTAGAGACAAGACATAAGTATGAGAAAAAATATGTAAGTGTGTGCATTTAACAACGACTTTCGCATATTAGGAAAATTGTCCTTTCAAAAAAATGCAATAAACAAAGTTTATTAACCTAACTTTTTTATTAGTGTTTGACTTTCAAAAACGAAAAAAATAATGTTTTTTTTTTTGTTTAAAAAAAAATTAGAACCGTATAATAGGGCGAAATTTTGTATTATTGTTACTTAATTAACTGACAGGGATACATTACTTACATATCCCTACAAGACGATTGCTTCTGAAAAGAGACGACTACGTTTGAATATTTAATATTGTTTAATTCTAGATTCGAACAGGGTAGATATATTAAACAATTTAGAAGAATTTTAATATTAATTATGAAGAAAACACACATACAATAAAATGTAAAATATATCAACAAAAAATTACTATTATTTTTATCAATTATTATTCATTTATTGTTTTAAAAATTAGTTGAATTTTTCTTCAATAACAGTTAATAAAATACATAATTTTGAAATGAACGCTATTTCCAACTTTTCTAAGATTTTACGTATTTTACGTAAAATGTGCAACTGTTTATACTCAAAAATAATATATGTTTAACAATATAATTAATTAAGGTGTATGACTTTAAATAAAATTTTCGGTATCACCCTGTATGGTGCCAATTGAACAAAATTCTTACTTTGACTCCCCCAATCTAATTTAAAGAAATTATGTTACGGTGGTGTGAGATATCCTTTGTGAGTTTAGAACCATTGATCGTTAATTTGAAGATTATCTAAAGAAGGATCCTACGTTAATTTATTAATTTTAAGAAGAAAGATGATTGAAAATCAAAATATCGAAATTACAATATATCGAAAATTATAAAAATATCTAAAATATTAAATATCAAAATAAAAAAAAATACTAAGTATATCAAAAATAAATATTGAAATAAAAAAAAAATCTAGAGTAGAAAATATCAAAACCAGACATTTTTGTAAATTACTAAATGGATAAAATGTAAAATATTGAAAAACAAAAATATCGAACAACAAAATTCCGAAAAGTATCGTTAGCGACATTTTTTGCGAAACTGGGATTTTGGTGTTTCACGAACCGTCTTAAGTAAGCTACGTTGACTCAAAAAAATATCATATGCTACAAAACACATAAAACATCAAATTTATATTCAAAAGTTTGTCATCGTATAGCCCATAAATCATAAAATATCGCAAGCTACAATATTATCACATTTGTCACTTTGTGTCCACCATAGTCTTCTTAAAATATCGTAAGCTTAATTATGTCGCTTACGTTTTACTCTATAGCCAAAGTTCTGAAACCTTTTAAACATTACATAGATTGTAACATCTTAAGGCTCACAATGTTCAATATAAATATTGTATACAGTATACATACGTCGTTTATGATTACTATTACGATTACTATTTCGAATAAAAATAGAATCCAAGGTGCAACCTCCTTAGATAGCCGAACCATTTCCACTTACAGCTATTGTTTGACAGGTCGTTGGATTAACTAATTAGGTATAAAATATACCATATCTTTTTAATAAATGATTTTCAAGTGTACGAAGTTAAATGTTTTTTTTTTATTATCCAAGTTATCATTGACTTTGTTTTCGTGATTAAGGTAGATATAAGCAATACATTATACCTACACTACGTAAAAAAATTGTCAGTTTGTATATCTATTTCCTATAGTAATGATATCGTAAACAAAATCTTGTCACTTTCGACAGATTTTTAGTCTTAGGCGGAAAAGTTAAACTTTGCCGCTTGAGACAGAAAATGTGACGCGTGACGCTTAGTGCAACGAACTTTTTGCTCAAAATGCATACAATATTTTTTTAAAAACAGATATATAAACTGAAAATTTGGCGTAAGTGGTGTATAATGTGTTGCTTATATCTACGTTAATCATGAAAACAGGAGAAATATTATTAAATTTTATTTAATTTAAATTAGGCGAGCAAGAAAGCTGTCAGGTTTTTCGCTCGGCGAGCGATAAAGTTGTCACTTAATGTCAGTTCGCGGAAGACGTCAACTTTACGGTTGTATTTAGAAGCGCAAAACTACTTTGGATGGTTAACGTAGAAAAATAGCTATTTATTCGAATGTATCAAAAATAGTCAAATTTTTGTTCTTGTAACATAAACTACTATTATGTTATAACGAAGACAAGTGGAGTTTTTCGGGCGAGTACTAGAATTCCGCAATGTCACTTTTCGTTCGAGTTTCATACATAATTTTTTGTTCTAAATTGCTTGTAGATATAATATTATTTCCAGTTTTTTTATAACTGAGATAGCTGTTTCGATAAGAGTAGCTAGATATACCTATTAGGCATTCCAAACAAATGAATTGCCAGTGGGCAGGTTTGGTAGATCTGACGGTTGCGACATACGATGTATTCTATCTACAATACGTAAAATCATGAATAATGGATTACATTTAAATATTTTATATCGAACACTATAAAAATAATTGAAAAAACTACTTGTACATTTTTTTTTAAAACTGGCAGGATTGGCGACTGATATTTCGAATAAAAATAGCGTCCAAGATGCAAGACTATGTCGCTACCCCCTTAGATATACGAGACCTTCCCACTGGCAAGTATTGTTTGACAGGTCGTTGGAATGCCTAATTAGGCATTCCAAACTGAATGGCTACCAGTGGCTTCGGACGAGTTATGATATGGCAAAATTATGGCAACCCTGTAGGCCTGGTGATTTGACAAGGTCAATGAAATAGATAGTTACATAGATTGATCATCCATATTTTTCAAAATAAACATAAGTAAAATTGTAAGCAATTATTTTTTTTTTTTTATATCTAAAGCCTAAAAATTGGTTTTAAAACACATTTTTGCTAAACCGATTCAAATTAATAAATATTTGCCAGGCAATATGGCCGCTCGTAAACGACCAGCTTTGAGCAATGTATATAACTATATATGTATCATTGAGCCTGTTAATGACAACAGGGTTGCCATATCTAAACTGTCATTACCCACTGGTAGCCATTTGGCAATTGAACAACTGAACTGGTCAGTGTGCTTATGTCAAGTCAATTTAATTATAGTTTATTTAATTTTTCTCTTGTTCAATTAAAAATGGTTCTATTCAAATTTTATGTACTTGTACATACTGGACTACTATTTTACAATAGCAAAAACATAATGCCAACAGTGTTTAAAGGTAAACTGAAAAAACAATGTATTTTTTAGCAATTTACTTAAAGTAAATTTAAAATTTCTCCTTTTTCGATTATCTTTTCTGTCCGAAAAACGACGTTTTATGGCACATTCGAATAAAAACTACTATATTTTGCTAAATGAATAAAAAGTCGAAATCCTTTTTTATAATAAATTAGATAAATTAGATAATATTTTATTTGGTCTGTTATTACCGCAATTCGAATTGATTATCACAATGAACAACAGTGCCAAATTTTAACAATATCGGCAAAAAATATTAACTAATAAAAAACCGATTTTTTCTTTTAAACTTTGATGACCTGTATCTTAAAAACCAGACTCTTTAAGACACATGTTTAATTTTTTTCTATTGGTTCTTCTGATTTATTTCCTCATATCATCACTTAGTTTATATGAACTTTTATAATTGAATTTGGTTCAGAAATGTGCCTTTGGAATTACGGCCTATCATTAACATCCTGTATATATTTTTTAAGAATTTATTTATTTATTAGACTGTTTCAATATTTTTTCACTCCACCTTGAGTAGTAGATTCTTATCAATACATCGTGGTTTTGTTTTATAGGTAAAGAAGTTCCTCCTCCCCTACAACCCAGGCAAATGAGGGTAAACCAATCAATGAGGGCGAGAATATCGTATGACCAAAGGTCTGGTTCAACTGTCAAATATTCACCAGAAAAGGAAGTCTTCAGAGGCCACCGATTATCCTCAATGTAAGTACCTACGCTTTTAAAAAATAAAATTTTTTTTAATGTTTTTGCAACGTTTGCTATTTAAATTAAAATTAGGTAGCAATGTTGGACGATTTGTCCTCTTTTCCTATTAGTACACAAATCTCCATCAATTAAATTAAAGCTAGAAAGTTAAAAATAATTTTTTTATCTCTACTCATTTTCTCTGCTTTTAATCCAATGCCTGTCGAGGTATATGTAACCTAGGAAGTAGATGTTGTTTAGAGAAAAAAGGTCACTCGTTGATTTTTATGGCACAGGAGTTCAGTTTTTCTTTTCTATTTGTTTGGTTACATTTGAGTTTGGAAATATGTGCCGTCTATATTTATGCACACGGTGTTAGTTTATTAATGAATTAAGTTTTATCTATTACGTAGAGTACATTGGAAAACTCAGTCATTTACCACATAATTTTATTGCTTTAAGCGGCGACTAGTTTTGGCCTCTATAGGCTATCATCAGGCCTATAAATATGGGTTACAAAGCCAGAGTTTAACAGGTTGTATAATAACTTATCAAAAACAATTTTTTCTATACCCACATGGATATTAGCTTATCTACGCACAGATTACAAAACGAATAAGTATGCTATTGCCTTTAACTGAATGAATGTATTTCATATCGATTGTAAGTAGTGAGAACACTGCAAAAAATTAAATAAACCAATCACAGTTCATATTTTGATCAACCGACTGCTATTATTTTTAAAATTTTAAATAAGTGATAATTTTGTCAAACTAATTGTCAGTATATTTTTTAGTTAAAATGAATTATTCTTGTGTAGAATCGATAAATAATAGAATTTATATTTTTATTTCGACTATAATTATAAATAATTTGTTAATTTAAATAAAACTATATGAAGTCAATTTAGTTACGAGTAATAAAGCAAAAAAATAGAGTTGAGTTTAAATCTCAGATGGAGAAAAATTAAATTAATTTTTTTTCTTTTTTTTTTCTTGTTTATTTTATTTTATAAATTAGTAAAAATCATAAATTATTTTTAGATTAATTATTTTATCTTAATGACCTAAAATAATTTTTAATATTTATAGATTTTCATAAGTGGATCATAGAAAAAATATACTGTACAACGCGAGTGTATTGTCCATATCGCACTTAGGCGATTGAGCACTCCGCCTATGGCGTCGTACTTAAATTTCGTCTTCTTGCGATATGGCCATCATATCCACTCTTGTTGCACAAACTACTATTAAAATCAAACATTTAACATGATACAAGGTATCTCGTCAAACTACCACATATGGGTGGTTGAGTATACTATTGAAAGATGGATTTCTCTTCTTGATTATAATAGGTAATTAAAAAAGTTCCGATCTTTCCACCTAACTTCCTATTTCTTCAGTTCCATTTTAGTCTCATTCTTCTCATTTCCCCCGCTTCTTGTCTCCCTTGACATAGCCCTATCGTTCGTTTTTTTAACTTCTTCTCCTTTGGTTCTTCTCTTTTATTCCCTCATGTCTGCACTTACCAACCATAATACTTTATTTTTCGTTAATAACACTTTTAGTGACCATTTTGCCAATTCGCTTTGCCCATTTACCCGTCTCTCTGAAATCTTACGCAAAATATAGTTCCTTTTATAGCCCCAGAATCATGGAAAATGGCCAGAGTCATCTCTATTCCAAAAGTAGGGAAAAATAATACCACATATCGTAAATCCTTCCGACCAATCAGCCTTGAGTAGACTGTTGATAATTATATCAGAACAGAAGTCCTGGAGAGAGTGCCAGTCCTCCACAGCCAGCACACGTACCGAGCAGTAATATCTACAGAAACTGCCCTAGTACAGCTAACTGACGTAATCCACGATGCACTGACAAACAAAGGGTCGTGGTGCCTTCCTTGACGTAGAAGAAACGTTTGACAATACGCCACATGAAGCTGTTAAAGGAGGACTTGCATATAAAGAAGTAGATAGCACCACATCCAAATGGACGGCTCAGCTGCTATCTTCAAGAACTGCAAAGATAGATAGGGCAGGAAACCATATCCATCTGCACAACTAGAGGATGTTCACAAGGAGTTCTGTCCCCACTAATGTGGAGCCTAACCGTAGACGTAGACGAACATCTATTTGGATTAACTGACCTCGTTCATATCCTTTACGGTTATGCCGACGACGTAGAGGTAAATTTGGAAATATCCTGTTTCATATTGTATAAAAAGAACACACCAAAAGATCGAGCCGTGAGGTGGAACATGAAAACTACACTAGTATCCTTTTAAAGGAACAGAACACTCAATCTGAAATTAAATTAGGCGGGATAGATATAGAATGGAAAAAGAAGTCAAATATCTAGGCCTAATCCGGGAAAATAAACTTCTCTGGAACATGCATGAGTAAATAAGGCCACAAAAGCCTTAATGGTATGCCAAAACATTGCGATACAAGAAGAGGTTGTAACCCGAACACACTGCGAAGGATGTATATAGCAATAGTTGAGACCAATCATCACTTGCGGTATTATAGCCTGGAGTAACAGAACTAGTTTAGCTACTACGATGGAGTAAAGGGTAACAAGATTGCAGATACTCTCGCAAGGAAGGGGACTTAAACACCTTTTGTAGGACCTGAGCCGTTCTGCGGTATCAGCAGTAAAACAATAATTAGGAGAGAATAAAACAGAATTGGGCAGTAGAAAAACCAAGAATTGGAACAATCTCTTGCGGCTAACATAGGCTAAGATACTTCTCGGTAAATAGATAGTGAGTGCACATTCTGTGAGGAGGAGGACGAAACCTTAATTCACATTCTGACTGAATGTGTAGCACTCCAAAATCCAAGGCACTATATCTAGGAGCATATCAAATAGAAGAGCGAGCTTTACCTAACTTGAAGCCACTCCAAATCCTACAATTTATTGAGAAGATAGGATTGGGAAGGTCGTTATAGGCATCGATACATTTCCTTGCTGCATTAACGGCAGAAGGGGCACAATATATCTTTTAGGTCGCAGTGTATTAACACCCCATTCCCAACATAACATAACATAACCTAACCCCAAAACTAGAATATTGAGGTTCCACAATTCGGGTAACACAACCTGTGTTCTGACATTAGTCGATCTATTGATATGCGCCTTCCCTCTTCGTCGCTCTTATAAAGTTTAGCACGACGCCCATCTTTTTTCTACTGTCTCCCTACTCTTCACATTCTTCTTACCCCAATAGCTCATAGAACTGATTCCTGGTAGTCTCTTAATTTGTTATTTCATGTAGATAGTTCCTTTTCTAGGATACCAGGAATCGGTTCTATCAACTATTACCTATTCTTATCCCCTTCACTAACTCGAATTAAACGGTTTCCCACCTGACCTTCCTCAAATTTTCTAATTTGCACTTCTTATCCGCTCTGTTATGTTTTAATCATAAGTTCCCTTGTTTTTGTTTAATATGTTTAAGGATTGTTCAATTACCACATCACATATCTGACAATTTCTAGATATCAGTTTTTTGGTATATTGGATTTGTCGCCCACGTTTTAGTTTTAAAATTTTTTTGGTAAGGTATTCCACAATATGTTCTTGCTTTGTAACCCACATTTTCAGACCTGGTCGTTTTGATTGTTCAAATAATTATACTCGTACATTGTAAACAAAGAATCGACTAATCTTATTGAAACAAAGCAAATGTTGTTAATAAAATTTCTGTTTATATTGTTACATAGTCTTTCCAAATACCACTTGTGGTGAGAATTTTGTTTAGAACATTTTGTTATTTCCTTACAAATTATGCAAATTTCATTTAACAAAATACCCCTCGACTGAAATCTCGTGGTATTTTTAGGATGATTTTGTTTGGTGAAATTCAGACGCATATTTTCCTAAGAAACAACCTAATCTTCCCAAAAACTTCTAACCTCTTGTGGTATTACCCTTGATTATTTTTTAAAATTTCATTAAATACCTATAACCAGTAAACATTAACACTACCTATATATTACTTTATTTTTGACATTTAAATTTGATATTATATTCAGAAATTCTTTTTAATTGTCATTTAATAACTTAATCTTAATGACATAATTCAAAAAGCTCTTAACTAATAATTAAATCATTGGATAATATTTAGTTTTTTCAACCTCGCATTAGTTATTATAAAGAAAACATCAAGTGGGTAGTTAGTAATATCTCTGTATTCGATTATGTCCTCATCGACAATGCATTCAAAGTAATAGCAAGTAACAAACCTAAACAGTCTATCGTTATTATTAAAAAATAAAAATATGACTAGATCTTGAAGAAATGAAGAAACTTGGCGGCCTTCATGTACGTAATATTTCATGATGTGATTGCTGTAGATTATGCAACACTTCATACACGAAGAGGTATTGCGTGTTGAGTTATTCATTTCACGTAGGATTGGCGCCTAGTGAGTTTCCTATCTGTCCTCTCAGAAAGTGAAATATTATACAAATACGAGGTCGTTTTAAAAATTAATGAAACTATATTATTTTTTATAAATTATTATTTTCAGATGGTTTCTTGTTTCTTTAGAATTATTGATTGGTAAAAGTCGCATACGAAGAGTTTAGTTTCAGTTGGTCAATTTTCGCGATGGTCAATACAATATAAACATTTATACTTACACTTACAGTAAACATATAGTTACAAAATTTAGTATAATTTCTAGTACTTTAATGATATTGGTTTATGGCTATCGTGAACAATTATCTTTCAATTCTGTTAAAGCAAAATAAATATTTTGCTTTTATTTCATTACTCATTTTATGTATAATTTTTCTGCAAGGCAATAGCGATGGATCCAGGTCGCACAAAGCAGGTAAGTTATTAGGTTTTTTTATTGGAATACTAGGAACATATTTCTATTTTCTTTGATATATTTTGCATACTCTGAAGAAACAGATGCCTTCTAGCTACCTACTGCTTCGACATTTTTGTGAACTGTGTAGGCAAAAGCTGTCCAATTAAGATACTTTTCTAATAATCTCATATATT